AGGTGAGCACAGAGCACTTGCGGCACCCCTAGGTTTAGGGTTAAAGAGACCTGGCTTTGCAGTTTTAGCTCAGCCACTTGCTGGTCTAGTTGTTTGGCCACTGGTAAGCTGCTTTACCTCTAGCAAGTTAAGACTTTACTTTGAATTTCAGTTGCCTTACTTGCCAGATCATTAATAAACTCTGCCACACGTGGTTTTTGTGAGGATTAAATGGAATAACATGATAAAGCGTCCATCAATTCCTGGCACCCACTTAATAAGTGTAGATTTTTCCTCTGTTGAATAAAACTCTCATGGAGCTTGTATTTACTTGGAAAAGATATATGTATTACAAAGAAAAAAAAAGAATTCTGGCAGCGATAGGCGCTGAGGATAAATGAGAGGGAGCAGGATTTAGGAGCCTGTTTTAGGTAGGGTAGTCTAGGAACACGTCTCTGAGGAGGTGCTGTTTCAACAGAGAATAACTGTTAAAGGTTGGAGGAAATGGAAGGATGTTCGAGGCAGGGGGACACAGCTTGGTGTGTTTGAGGAACAGAGCGACCAGTGAATGGCAGGCAAGGGAGTGATAGGAGGTGAGTTATTAGAAGGAAGTGAGTTCCATGTGAGGCTTGTTACCATGCATAAAGAGTTTAGGTGTATTTTGTGTTATGGGATATAAGAATAACAATGATGGATCTGATTTATATTTTGAAAAAACAAACACATTATTCTGGCTGCTATGTGGAGAACAGACAGTAGGGAGGCAAAAGTAGAAACCGAGAGTCCGGTCCAAAGGCTGTTGCAGTGGTCCAGGCAGAGTCTGACTGTGGCTTAGATTAGGGTGGTTGGTACTGGGTGAGAAATACAGAATGGTAAGAAATGGTTCTATTTAGGATACATTAGATGTAGGAGCCACCAAGACTGCTGATTAATTGTATTCGAGGGGTGATACAAAGGGAGGAATCAAGGGTGACTTCTAGGCTTTTTAGTGGGAGCACGTGGGTTTAAATAAGCGGTGCCATTAACTGAGATGAGATGACTAGAGGAGAGAATAAGTTTGGAGGGGGTAGCAAAATCAAGAGTTCTGTTTTAGACTTATTCATTTTGAGATCTTTAGGCATCCAAGTAGAGTTATAGAATAAGGCAGTTAGAAATAAGAGCATGAAACTCGGGGCAGAGGTTTGGGCTAGAGATATAAATTCCAGTCATCATTTGAGAGGAAGAGAGCGGAGACCAAGAGGAAGAGAGAACCAGTGGCCAAGCCCTCAGGTACTCCCACTTTTAGAGGTTAGGATTTCTTACCCACCCGTCCTTTTCCTTGCAAGCACCTCAGGCCATTGTTTAATTTGAGAAAACCCTCAAATTATTGTTTTTATTATTCTCTTCTTTCTTTCACAAATTTATGACCCCAACTCTTTTTACCAAGAGAGACAGTATGGTAGGACTGAGTGATGAAGTATTTAAAGACATTAATGTGATGATTAATAAGGAAGGCTGTGGAGACAGAAGAATTGGGTTTAAATCTTGCCTCTGATATTTACTAGCTTAGTAACCTTGGATATTTTACTTAATTTCTCTACCCTCAGTCTTTTCATCTTTAATAATAAAACAATAGCCAGCATTTATCTGACACTTACTATATACCAAGCAGCGTTTTAAGTCCTTCACATATATTAACCTATTTCAATCCTTAGACCAACCCATTGTTCTTATCCCATTTTCTTATCCCACATTCTTATCCCACTTTATTATTGAGCAAAATAAAGCCAGAGAGAGGTTTTATAATTTGCCAAAAGTTACACACTGGGCAAGTGGCAGAGCTAGGTTTGAACCAAGGCAGCCTGGGTCCAGAACCAGTGCTGCTTTTCTCGTATCTAATTCTTAGAGCTGTAGTAGTGATTAAATGAGATGACCCAGTTAAAGTGCTTAGCACGTGGAGCCTGGCACCTAATATGTGCATAATAAATGTTTCCTTTGGGAGGCAGCATAGTGTAGTGAAAGAGAACCAGATGAAAAGTCCTGGGGCTCCAGCCTGACTTGACAAGAGCAGCTTACATGACCATGAACCAGTTTCTTAGCCTCTCTGGACTTCAGGTTTGTCACCTGCAATATAAAATCTTCATACTTTTTGGCCTCTGAGGTCCCTTTCAATGTTAAAGTTCTATCTGTGACTCCCCAAGACAGGTTATGGATACATTTGAATTTGGGTGGGGGTCTCACATCACCATGGGGGTTTAATAAATTAGGGTTTAATAGATAATTAATTGTTGGATTAAATTGATTTGTTAACTCTCAGTGGTTATTCATTGAATAAGATACTTTGATAATTCTTGGGTTGGGAACATTTCTGCTATATGCTTCTCTTGAAGAAGCTTGCTAGAAGGTAGTGAAACATAAAGTTAAGAACCGTGAGGTCTGAACTAAGTCCGTCATATGTTAGAATCTGTCTTCACCAGATACTCTTTGTACAAGCTACTTCTCTTGAGTTTCCATTTCATCACCTGAAAACTAGGGACAATAATGGTACATGCCTCATGGCATTATTTCAGATATCCAGTAAGAAATTACATGTAAAGTATTTAATACGTGATAAGCATTCAATATATATTAGCCATTATAATATTATTATAAGGTTCCCAGAGCTTGAGAGGATTTTTTTAGCTCTTCAAGTTCCAGATGAGATAGAAGCTCCTCAGTAACTCATTTCTAAACAATGGAGCTGGCAGTTACGTGGTGAGGCACTCTAGTTGTTGGACCCTGAGGACGAGTCTGAGTTTTCTAATTGTGCAGTCATTCCTCCCCACTCCTCTCTTTAACAAGGCGTAGGGAGCATTTCTCTGGAACAGTTGTGCCTTTCTTTGCCTTATCCATAGATGGAGTGAGTCATTCTTGGCAAGTGTGCTCTGAGTTTGGCTTGCTTCAGACCTTCCCTGATCTGAGGAGAGTTGTTTTCCCCACATACAGACCAAGCCTGAATTTCTGGAGAAATTTAAATTTTTTTGTTTTTACCATGGTCAAAGGAAGAGTAGTAGTCAAGACTCTTTTGGCTATGCGAGCAAAAACCCAACTCACACCAATTTAGAGGAGGAAAAAAGGGGGAGGCAGGAATTATTGACTCATATACCCAAGAAGTCTAAGGCCTAGTGTTGAGTGTATCTGGACACAGGGTTCCAAACGCTCTCCTGTTTCTCCATCTCTTGCTCTCCTTTGGCTTTATTCTCAGGTATGTTCTCCACGTAGCAGTGCCAAATCTACAAATGTCCTTATAGCCATGATCTCAGAGAAAGAAGGACTCTCTCCTGTGACATCCATATCATATCAGAAAACAATTGATCCAGCTTGGGACATACGTACGCTCTCTTGGTCTAGGGGAATCTGATGCTCTTAAACGGCATTATTTTCCATTCCATAGCCCTGTGATAGACATCCCCACCAAATTACACCGAGTTAGGGTGATGGTTTTCCAAAAGGAAAAGAAGCTAGGCAAGCAAAAAAGTAAGTGATAGCAGTTTTAGATTAAGTGATAAGAACATCCACATTGCTTTTGCCCATTGTTGATATGAGTGAGCTAGCCCAAGAATTCTGACCTTGGGAAGCTTGGTTTCGCCTCGCCAGGTCTGAGACTAAACATTTATATCTTATGGGGTGGTACCTCTCTTCTTATTTCTATTTTCTTCTCACTTCTCACCCTCTCCCCTTTAATTTAACTGTAGTTATTGCTTAATACTTAATCCCAAAACTGATTCTTCCTTTTTCATTTTACCTGTGCATTGATAGTTTAGCATAGTGGTAAAGAGTGTGGGCTGAAGGGTCAGATTGCCTGGGTTTTAGTCCTGTCTTTGTCATTTGCTCACTTTGAAATCTTAAGCACTTTACTTTGTACCTCTCTTCTCATCTATAAAGTGAAGACAATGTCTACCTCACTGGGTTGCCTTGAGGATGATTAGATAGTCAGTGGAAAGTGATTGGCCCCGTGTCTAGCACACAGTACAGGACGCAGCAATATCAGACAGTGTTGCTGTGACTTCGGGCTCTGCAGCTTTGGTGCAGCCTGTCTGTCCTTGTGTCAGGAATGGGAAAGCTGAGGTAGATTGGGAGACTATCAGGAAGCACTAGATTCTCTTTTAGAAAATGAATATTTTTGGATAGGATGATTCCCTTCATCTTTATCATTACCTGATCCTTAGTTATTTAAGTAAAAGTGAATCTCAAAAAGTGTTTTAGGGGCCAGCCTGGTGGCATAGTGCTTAAGTTCTCACGCTCTGCTTCAGTGACCTGAGGTTCACGGGTTCAGATCCCGGGTACAGACCTACGCACCACTTATCAAGCCATGCTGTGGTAGGTGTCCCAAATATAAAATAGAGGAAGATGGGCACGGATGTTAGCTTAGGGCCAATCTTCCTCAGCAAAAAGAGGAGGTTTGGCAGTGGATGTTAGCTCAGGGCTAGTCTTCCTCACCAAAAAAACAAAGTGCTTTATATTCGGGGTTTGTGTGTGTGAGAGAGAGAGAGAGAGAGAAAGCAAGAGCAAGAGAAATAGTGAGTTAGTTTATATTGATATCAACCAAAAAGATTTACTTGTATATTGGGTTGACATGTTTTACTTTCTTCTTATGAGGTTTTTATATCCCCTTTCGCACTCTACTGTCTAGATCCCTTTGAAGTATTTGTTAATCTTATCTCACATCTGTTTTGTATTTTTCGAGAAAAGCTTTTTGGGCCTTATGATATATATTCTGTAGTACTTGTCTTGGAGTCAGGGAGCGTGGCTGGGGACTCTATTCCACAACTTTGCAACATTACCTTGGGCAAATTACATTCCCTCTTATGTGCCTCATTTCCTCGTCTGTCTAGTGAGGCATTTCTTCCGTTTAACCTTTAAGTCCTTTCCTAACAGTCTGTGATTCTGTAACTATCCCAGCATAGGTTGTGGCAGGAGTAGCTGAATTCCAAAGTGAAAACTTGATATCTCCATTCCCTTTGAAACATATTTTTACCTGTTGCCTATTATGTTTGCTGCAGGATTTCGGCTGAATGCCTCCTCTTGGCCCATGTTCCTTTTGAAGACGCTAAATGGAGCAGAGATGGCTCCCATCAGGATTTTCCACAAGGTACGTGCCCCTTAGATATCACCAACTCCAAACTGCTTAAGGTCAAGTGCTTATATTCTTTCGATTACTGAGCCTCTGATGTCTGATTATATTTGTGGCCTGAGGCTGCCTTCTCAGAAACGAGTGCAGCAGAAGGGTTTTTAGTACCTTAGGAAGCAGCGCTTATCCCAGAGGAATATTAGACTGTAAGTTAGGATTCCTGGGTTTTGGGTCTCAGCTCTGCCAGTAATAAGCTATGTCCTTTTGACCTCATCTGTAAAGTAGGAGTCTGTGTCACAGAGTTGTTAAGTTAAAATGTGTTTATTAGTAAAATATATAAAATGTAATATAAATCTAAAGAAGCTGTTCTTATTATAGCTTGGATTTCCGTAAGGACCATATGCTAAACAGAGAGAAAGGAAGGAGACTATTTTCTGAGTGCCTACAGTATATCTGAGGTTTATATATACTGTCTCATTTAATACCCACAGTTAACTTTATGAAACAAGAATTATTATTTCCATTTAATAGTTAAGGAAACAAATACTTCTGAATAAGGAACTTGCCCAAAATCACATGGCTAGTAAGTGGTGGAACATTCTCAAGGAATGAGATGATCGGTCTGCTCTCAGTTGAATTCTTTCATGAGGTTAGAGTTACTGTAAAGGGGACTAAATTAAGGCTGCTTATGCCCCTATTTAAGTCTAAATCCTGAGAGCACTCTGGTTCCCAGAATGTACTCTACTGGGCAACTTAAAAACCCTTTCACTAAAGAACATCTCAGATTGGTGGCAAGGGTGGGTGGACCAACAAATATTCTTCTAAGTGCTTTACTGAGCTTACTAGAAAGTAAGAAAACTCTCCAGAGATCAAAATAAAGAAGGAAAACCAGAGTGTTAAGTGTATATACTGAACCTTCAGGTGCCGTAAGGGGCTTTGCCAGTCTTACTTTCCAAGGATCTTGTCTTTTAACACCCAGAGTAGGATAGAAAATGAGGCCTTGGGCCCATGCAAGGCGGGGAAAGGGACATGAGATTGCCACATAAAAACCCAGATCAGAGCCCTGCAATGTTTACTCCTTAGTGGAAAGACTACACGTTGGTGAGGAAGAGTCTGTGCCTGTGCTCTGGGTAGACGTGGGAATGGAGTCGTCTCCTCTGATAAGACAGTCTTCCCCCATGGAAGTCCAGAGTTCAGATATAGTACCTGTATTATCTAGGAACTCCAAAGTTGGATGGAGATATTTTGAGTGCCTGGCACAAGCAAACCCGAAACCTTTCTAGAGAGTGTGGTTGCTTTCAACCCAGATGTCGTAAAAGTCTCAAAAGTGAAGTACCATTGAAGATGAATACTCAGTTTAGAAATTACAGACCCTCAGAAACTCTCCAAACAGGCCAGCCTTGTGGCCGAGCGGTTAAGTTCTCGTGCTCTGCTTCGGTGGCCCAGGGTTTCACCAGTTCGGATCCTGGGGGCAGACCTAGCGCCTCTCACTAAGCATAGCAGAACTAGAAGGACCTACAGCTAGAATATACAACTATGTACTGGAAGGCTTTAGGGAGGAGAGGAAAAAAGTACATAAGTGTGCAAGTCAATGATTTTAAAAAGAAAACTCTCAAAACAAATCCAACATGACAGGACATCAGAAGACAAGACAAACAGTAAGGTTATAACCCAAGGACTTTCGGATAATAGAAATATCAGATAGAGAATATAAATCAAGCATTTGAAATGATTAAAGAATGAAAAGAAGGAATTTAAAAAATGAGAAAAGTACAAAACCATACTTTTTAAATGAGAGATTTGAAAAAATCCCAATTGAACATAGAACAATAGAAATGAAATTTAACCGTTAAAATTAAAAATTAATAGGTAGGTGTATAAGCAACCTAGATATAGATAAGGAAGAATTAACTGAAAGACGTGTAAAGAATTTCCCCAGCATGCAGCACAAAGAGATAAAGAGGTGGAAAATATTAAAGACGAGACAAGGAGAGTAATGTTAGAAGGTCCAAGATATGCTGAACGTGACATCCAGAAAGATGGATTAGGAAAAATAGAAGAGAGTCAGTATTTGAAAAGACAATGACAGAATTTTCCAGAGTTTGTAGTAAAGACAAATATATACCTTAAAAAATCATGGTATAACTAAAGTAAAAAGAAAAGATCTGAGCAAGTAATCACATAAAGCACCCTCAAAAAAATTACAGTTAGGTTGACAGCACATTTCTTGACAGCAACAGCACAAGCCAAAAGATAATAGAATAATATTTCACAGTATCCAGGAAAATGCTTGTCCACCTAGAATTTCATATCGGTACACTATTATTTCAGAGTTGATATAAAAATCAAGATATTTTCAAACAAACTAATACAAGTAGACAGTAATATATCCACTGAAAGAACAAGTGAATACTCTATTTCAGGAAGAAGACAATTGAACCCAGAAAGTAAGAGTGAAAGGCAAGAAGCAGTGGTGAGGAGACGCTGGTTAACATGTAGATAAAACTACTCAAGCACTGTCCACAACTGTATAAACCAATTATAATTACAAAAGGATAACAATGTGGAACTAAATTATCAAACACCTCTTAGCTCAGTAGTTGAAATATTTTAAAGTTCTTGTATTGTTTGGGACTAGAGATAAAGATGAGTTTTAGACCAAATTATGTCAACTGTACAGTTAGAGTCTTAAGAGGAACCACTAAAAGACTATAAATAGAATGGTTAACATCTGAATCAAGGGAGGAGGAAAAAGGGAAAAAATTCAGTTGACGGTAAAGGAGAAAAAAGAACCTTGAAAAATCAGGTTAAATAGAAATATAGGCAATAGGATAATTGTAATAAGTTTAAATACATCAGTTATTATTAGAAATGAGCTTAAACTCATCAGTTTAGTCAGATGTAGATTAGATTGTTTTTAAATCTAGCTACATGCTGTTTGCAAGAGACACTGCTAAAGTATGACACAAAAATGTTGAAAGTAAAAGAATATAAAAGATATACCAGGCAAACCTTTATCAAAATAAAGCAAGTGTTAACTATACTGAAATTAGACAAAGGAGACTTTGATGCTAAGAAAGCATGAAAGAGGTCACTGTCTAATGATTAAAAAATACAGTTCACCAAGAAAAAAAGTTGTAAATATGCATGCTACTAAAAAACATAGCCTCCAACTATGAAAAGCAAAGTCTGACAGAATTACATGAAAAAATTGGAAAATCCACAATCACTAAGGGATATTTTAGTAAACATCTCTCAATAATTGGTAAATCAAGTAATCAGAATAAGCTAATAAGTGTTAAATTAGTTTTTAAAAATCAGTTGCATTCCTATTTAATAGCAACAAATGGTTTGAAAATGAAAATTTTAAGATACCATTTATGATAGCAGTCAAATTATTAATATGCCTAGAAAAAACGTAAAAAGCATGAGATATTTATAGAGGAAATTTTAAAATCTGTATTAAAGAAGAAATCCACATTAAAAAATACTTAAATGGAAGATACTCTAGCATGTTTTTGGATGGGGATGCTCGATATCATACATACAAAGGTTATTTCTTCCCAAATTAATCTATAAATTTGGTGTGATTCCAGTCAAAATCTGTGGAACTTGAAAAGCTGATTCTAAAATTCACATGAAAGATCAAGGAGAAAGAATAGCCAAAACAGTGTTGAAGAATGGCAAAGTAATAGGCCTTTTTCTACCAGATATTCATTTACTAAGACTGTGTTCTTGGTACAGGGTCAGACAGTAAGACCAAGAGAACAGAATAGAGTGTAAAACACTTTTTTGGAAACTTTATCTATGCAGCCACATTGCAGATCAGCACCCAAGAACTCTCCTCACTGCTGGAAAGAGTGTACAATGTTACAGCCACTTTGGAGGGCATTATAACAATATTTAATACAGCAGAAGATGTATATATCTTATAACCTGGCAATTCTACTCCCTAAAGAAATGGAGAATGGTTGTCCTGTGCAGAATGGAAAAAGCACGGGTTTTGGGGTAAAGGAGACTCAGGCTTGAGTTCCAGCTCTGCCTTTTATCGGCTGTATAGTTTTGGGCACTTAGTTCACCTGTCTAAATATGCCCTAAAGAAACCCTCCCACGTGTGTACAAAGGAACGAGTGCCAGAATGGTCATTAAGACTCTTTTGAAATAATAAGCAATTGGAAACAACCTTAAATGTCCATCAAAAGAGAATGAATAAATTGTGGTTATACACATATAATAGAATACTATTAGCAGTTAAATTGAACCAGAGCTAAATTTATCAACATGGATAAATTTCAAAAACATGTTGAACAAAAAAAAAGTTATGGAATGATATGTATAGTTAGTTAAATTGAACTGGAGCTAAATTTATCAACATGGATAAATGTCAAAAACATAATGTTGAACAAAAAAACAGTTGTGGAATGATACGTATAGTCTTGTAGTCTGACCACGGGGACAGGTTCTAAGAAATGCATCACTAGGCGATTTCGTCATTGTGCAAACGTCACAGAGGTACTTATGCACTAGGCTTCATGGTGCTAATCTTATGGGACCACCATCCTGACCGAAATTTCGTTATGTGGCACATGACTGTACAGTATAGTACCATTTATATAAAATTTAAAAGTATGCAAATAGATATGTACATATATAGTAAAGTATAAAAATACGCATAGGGAATGGGGTAAGGGAAGAGCACAAAGGGGATTCAACGTTGTTAACTTTTATTTCTTTAAAAAAAATGTGAAGTAAAGATGTCAAAATGTTAGGATTGCAAAGTAATACTTTGGTGTGCTTTGAGATCCATTTAAAAGAGAGACTAAATCTCCATTGTAAATCTTATTATATAGCAGTCACTTGTTATCATCCGAATGAGGCACCAGTCTTTTGGCATACATAGCCTCTCTCTTTGTGCCTAGGTCTATTTATTTCTCTTTCTCATCTAGGAACCACCATCGCCTTCCCACAACTTCTTCAAAATGGGAATGAAGCTAGAAGCTGTGGACAGGAAGAACCCTCATTTTATTTGCCCAGCTACTATTGGGGAGGTGCGGGGCTCAGAAGTGCTCGTCACTTTTGATGGATGGCGAGGGGCCTTTGACTACTGGTGCCGCTTCGACTCCCGGGACATCTTCCCTGTGGGCTGGTGTTCCTTGACTGGAGATAACCTGCAGCCACCTGGTACTAAAGGTAAAGGGCCACCTATGAGCTCTTGAATCCAACCCAAGTAGATAAGGGAGATTACCTAGATCTCTCATCGTCAGCATATCTTTACCACTGACCCTCACTAGTAGGCAGAGGAGGAGCAAGGGCTGGCAACTTAGGTAAAAACCAAAGTCTACCCGAGAGTAATCAGAAACAGTAAGAATAAAATGTCAGGGGAAGCTAGACATAGAGTTTGTGATAAAGTAAAATTCCTTGCTCTTAAATGTCCTGGTTTATTCTCAGGCAACTAGCTTCTCGTCTGCCCTACTTTTGTTCCTAACCCTTTTCAGAGTTTGAGTAGTATCATTCTCAAGGTGCACATCTTCCTCAGGTCTTAGGGGCTTTGTATATGAGCTGGAGTAACATTGTAAGTACTTGAGAAGAGCTGTAGCAGAAAGGAAAAAGCATGGGCTTTGAAGGAAGAGAGACTTAGGTTTGAGTTCCAGCTCTGCCCCTTACCTGCTGTGTGGCCTTGGGCAGTTAGCTCACCTCTCTAAACCTCAGATTTCTCGTCTGTAAAAGAATGCCTACTTCATAAAGTTATTGTGAGAAATAAATGAGATTACATGGATAAAGTGCTTACATAATATCTGGCAAATAGTGCTAAACATTCACTATTTTTTTGTATTGTTTTTTCTATTGTTGCTATTATTATCGTTGTTATATACTATATTATATTTATTAAAATTAGTAAATATAATTACTACTATATAATATATTATATGCTATATTATCATTATTATAATACTATTATAATTGTAAAAGTAACCACTACCGCTGGGAGAGTATATATAAAGTACTAGAACAGTACCACAGAGTAATTGAACAGTAAATGATATTTCTAATGAGGATGTTGGAGATCATCCAGGGTAGAGTTTGAGATAGCTGCTCTTAATAAAGGAAATAATAATGAATCTCATCCCCTTCAGTCTAAAAGTTGTGATGAATCTGAGGGAATAGAAAGTCACCCTTCCTGTTGTCTGTGGATCCCTTTTCTGAACCTCTGTCGAATTCATTCATTCAATTAGCCAGATATTTATTGAGCATCTAATTTTGAGGCCAGCTGAGGATACAGGAGTTGCCAAGATGGACAGCGTTCCCGCCCTCGTGGCACTTCCATTCTGGTGGATGAGATAGTCGGTAAAGATTTAAATCAAGAAATAAACAAGGTGATTTCAGATAGACAGTTTCTCCTGAGGAAACAAAGAATGATAAGAGAGTGACAGTGAAGGTGAGATGGTGAAGGGGATTTTTTGTTTAACAACTTTATTGAAGTATAATTCAAGTAAAATAATGGCTCATATTTAAAGTATACAGTTTGAAAAGTTTTCACCTATGTCTGCATCCAAGAAGCCGTTACCACAATCAAGATAATGAGCATATCCATCATCCCAAAAAGTTTCTTTCTCCCTCTTTGTGGAGGAGGGCCTCTTGAGATACAATTTCTTTTCAGGAAAAGTTATCTGAAAAGGTGATATTTAAACCAAATGATGAGAAGAAACCATTCAAGAAAAGAGAATTCCAGGCAGGCAGATGGGACATACATGCACTGGTGCTGAAGATGACTGCTCAACCACAATGCACTGTGGGAGGGGGAAAGTGGCAAAGTCATGTAGGACCTTATAAGCCAGAGTGAGGATTTGAATTTTATTCCAAATGTGGTGGGGAATCATGAGAGGGTACCATGTCGGGGAATGACAAAATCTGGTTTACATTTAAAAAGTCGCTCATATCCAGAATACAAAAGAACACTTTAAACTCAACAATAAAAAAGACAAATAGCCCAGTTAAAAAATGGGCAAAGGGTTTGAATAGATATTTCTCCAGAGGAGATATACAAATGCCCGATAAGTACTTAGAAAAGATGCTCAACATCATTAATCATTAGAGAAATGCAGATCAAAGCCACAGTGAGATACCACTTTCACATCCATACAGGGTATGGCTATAATCAAAAGACATACAATAACAAATGTTGGTGAGAATGCTGGAGAAATTAGAACTGGTGAGAATGCTGGAGAAATTAGAACTGTCATACATTGCTAGTGAGATTGTAAAATGCTAGAGCCACTTTGGGAACAGTTTGGAAGTTATTCAAAATGTTAAACATAGAGTTACCTGTGACCCAGTAATTCCATTTGTGGGTATATACCCAAAAGAATAGAAAACATACATCCACACATAAATGTATCATGAATGTTCATGGCAGCATTATTCATAGTAGCCAAAAAGTTGAAGTAACCTACGTGTTCATCATCTGATGGATAGATAAGTAAAATGTTGTATACCCATACGAAATACTATTTGGCAAGAAAAAGGAATGAAGTACTGATATATGCTACAACATAGAGGTACCTCAAAACATTATGCTAAGTGAAAAAAGCCAGTCACAAAACACCACACATTGTATGATTGCATTTATACAAGATGTCCAGAATGGGCAAAAACATAGAGACAAAAGAAGATTAGTGGTTGTTAGGGGCTGGGGGAGAGGGGAAATGGAAAGTGACTGCTAATGGGTATGGGGTTTCTTTTGGGGATGTTGAATATGTTTTAAAATAGGGACGATGTTTCCACAACTCTATGAGTCTACTAAAAACACTGAATTGTACACTAAAAGGGTGAATTTTACAGTATGTGAATTATATGTCAATAAATCTTTGAATTAAAAAGTCGCTTGGGCTGCTGTGTGGAGAATGGGTTGTGCTGCGGTAACTGTGGACCAGGAAGAGATGAGGGCTGCTTGGATTAGGTTGGTGGCACTGAGGTGGAGAGAGCTTGAGGTGGAGGGTGGAGAGGTGGTGAGACACACTTCTTGCCTCAGGAAAGCGCTGCTCCTCTCTATGCTTCAAGAAACAAATGCCATGGGGTCGGTATGAGAAGTCCATTAGCATCCCTCTGCAAGCCCTGGGAGATAATATTTCTGTGGGAGCAGTGAGAGGAGAAGTGCCTTGGAGGTGGCAGTGGAGTCATTTTTGTTAATTTGAGATTCAAACAGGATAAACCTTGTTGTTCCAGGCAATATTCACTTAGTAGGTTGATTTTCTCACTTTCTTGCCTAGAGAACTCTGTTATTTTGATTGGCAAATCTCTCATAGCAGTCAGGCAGTTCTCACGAGCCAGAAGAGCTAAGAGTCTTTGTGTCCAGGAATTGCTGGACATGCATTCGTTTCTGACTGTTCACCATGCTGATAAGAAGTATGACTCACTATGTGGTTGATGCTTCCAGAGATGTTTGCTGACTGTTTTCATCTCCTCTTCTGTATGTCCCTGGAGATCTTAGATTTTTAACAGAATATGACCAGAAGGACCAGGCTCAGAAGGTAGAGAGGGACCTTATTCCAGTTGGCATTTCCAGACCATGTCCTTTGGTCATCATTCCAGCAGCCAGGTTGTTTCTGCCAACACCCCCCACCTCCCCCACCTCATCCCCTCAGTAGGCTCTGTAATGTAGCTTTCAGTAATAGCGGAACTTTAGCCATCTCAGCCTCCTGGCTAAGGAGCAAGTGATACAATGTGGAAAAAATGTGGTTACTCAATTCATTTCACAAAACAAGATGTTCTCTGTGTGTAAGCCTGTTCTCTTTCTGATCATACTGTCTCCTCCTTCCTTCCTACCTTCTGATCCTCAGTGTGCAGATGTTAAAAAATTCAAAGTAATCATGAGATTGTTTCTTGCTCACAGTAAGTAGGAAAAAATACCAATATTCATTTAATATTCTTTTACAAGTGTTATTTCATTTCATCTTCCTGGTAACTCTAAACTGGGTATAATTATTTTCAGAGACGTTTTATTTATGAGAAAAGTGAAGTTCAGAGGATTAAGTGACTTGGTTCTGTTGATATCTGAGAGGGAGTCTAGATGGAGAGGCCATGGAGGTCTTTTAGTTGGGCCAGCTGTCAGGGCCATCGCTTTGAGCCGTATTGCCTTCACACATGGCTACCCTATACTCTCCCCATTCTCCTTTGGTCTCTCTTCAAAATTTCATTTGAGGGGCCAGCCTGGTGGTGCAGCAGTTAAGTTCGCACGTTCCACTTCGGCGGCCCAGGGTTCTCCAGTTCGGATCCCGGATGTGGACATGACACCACTTGTCAAGCCATGCTGTGGTAGGCGTCCCACATATAAAAAGTAGAGGAAGATGGGCATGGATGTGAGCTCAGGGCCAGTCTTCCTCAGCAAAACGAGGAGGATTGGTGGCAAATGTTAGCTCAGGGCTGGTCTTCCTCAAAAAAAAAAAATTTCATTTGAGACCCTGGATGTTGGCTTCCAGATCCTGATACAAATAGTAAAGAAGTGGTGTAGTGTAATATCAGAGCCTTGAACTGGGGCCTAGTCTTAACTGGGCCACAAACTTGTTTTATGTCTTTGAGCAAGTCATTCCTAATGTGAGAGGTTGTACTAGATGATCCTTAAGGGCCCTTCTGCCTCTGTAGCACTATAGAGGTTCCTAGTCTTGGGGATGGGTAACAGGTGACTCCTGTGACTGTCTCTTATGTGATTCCAGATCCATCAGCTCACCTAGAGCCCAGCTCTGCCCTCCACCCATGTAGGGCTCTGCCTCTCGAAGGGGACGCCTGCATGCCAGCTGGTTCTCCTTTGCTGAGCCATAGTACTCTTTTTAGCTCGTGAACTCCTGGGCCAAGCCAGCTCTGATGGGCAGCAAATACCAAGCTTGTAACTAATCCAAGGTACTTGGTTATAAAAGGCAGAAGCTTTTTTTTTTAACTCATCACTTTTTTTGTGTGACTTAGAATAAAACTGAAACACACATGCTTCCTTTTTAGATGTAAAAAACAAAATAAAGAGTTCAGTCCGCTTGGCATGACTGTAATGCTAATTAGGCCTTTAGCCATTATAATAATCCACTTAACTCCCCCTTGCTCTGATTTCAGGCTGGGCAAGCAAGTTTCAGGTTATAGTTTAGCTTCTCATGTAATTTTACAACAGGAAAAGAACATGAGATCCAAGCTGCTTTGTATTTTTA